TTTATCAAAAATAATGCAGCCGTATGTCGACTATATATGCATAAGGTTTACATATGTTCATACAGAATCCAAACTCAGATTTACCGAGTGTTTAAGGTGTGCAAGCTTCACACTGAATAAGGGTCAAGTTTAGTGAGACGGCGTTCATGGACATTATATACTATTATCGTTGGATTTTACCATTAAATCAACAATAACCCTCATTATGAATGGTTCCAAGGCAGCTATGCTCAAATGTCTACGCTTATACCCAATTTACTGTCAAACGTACTGTTTCTTGCAATTTTCGATGATGCAGACATATTCCGTTGAAAGGTGCTATGTATTTCTTATTACAAGGGCTATCTATACCTATTCCGCCCTGACCAAAATATAACATTGCTTCATTCCGCTGAGGTATTTTTCTTGATTTTTCTTTACTTTTCTTGTACGAGTCGCCACCCCGAAGTCCATTTTTGGCTGTAGTCGGTAATTATTAGCATGCAGCCCACATTCTTGCATGTCTGGTTCGATTACGAATTTTGTCCGCTGAGGGGCTCGAACCCGCACCGCCCAGAAGCATTGACCACTTGACCCATGCTACCGGGTCATGCAGACATCTTCAATAGCCGCAAAACCTTCACGAAAAAAAAAGACGAACATGACGGGTATCAACTTAGTCTCGCTTCTGATAATTTATGCGTCAAATGGAAATATACAACAGTCAAGATTTCGAAGATTAATCGGGAATTTTAGCTTGCTTGGACTATATAAAGTAACCTCTTCGATAAGTCTACATTCGTTAGTGCACATCTCTTGACACTTGAAATGTCTTTTTTAATCATCTTTCTGACCTCTGTCATCTAACTAGGAAGAACTGTGGTGTGCTTAAAAAATATGGTATGAAGTGGTCAAAATCAATAGACTATGATCGTATCATGACGGCGATAAAAAAGTTGTTGATCGATGCATCTTAACGTGCATGATTAACTAGCGAAACACACAATTCTTCTACATCTCGCAACCTCATTGAGTCTTAACTTGGTCCCTTGGTGGCTTCCATTAATCGAATGACTGTGCTTTCGTCAAACTTAGCTATGCATCATCCTTGACCAAAGCCTTTTCAGTCTTCGTTGCTTGATTACCCACACCGTCCGTTTCTATCATTTCTTCCAACCATTTGTAAGTTAGAATCGATAATTTCATTTTCATTTCTCTAGCCGTGTCGTCGTTGAACTCAAAAACATGCCGTGGACTATCCATAATCATAACAAACATG